TTAATTTAATTAAGGTTTCTTGTCAAAGCATTATTGTAGGAATAATGTCAAAAATAAGTGGGAATAAGTGGAGGTCTCTGCCATGGAGATGTCCAAGGTGTTTAGGAGGGGATGAGAACCCACCTTTCCTTCATCCTCTAAATTAATTTGGATAATGTGTCTTTAGTCCTTCCCTGAAAGCCAGGGAGGACTAATTAAAAAAAAAATTAAATTAATTAAAATTAGTTAATTAATTAAATTAATTAAAAAATAAACAGAGGACTATTCCAGGTGAAGCAGCTGTTTCATCCTGACCTGATATTTTTTCCCAATTTTGGTTTAAAATGGAAAAGAAAAGGAAAAACAGGAAGCTTAAAATTTAAAATAAATTTTAAAAAAAGAAATAATGAGATAAAAGGATTCTGGGAGGACTAAATACAAAATAAGTAGAATGAGCTGAGTAAAAATTGGGCTGCTACAGATCCTGTTTAAATTGGGCTTGCACTGGGCAGCAAATCTAACATGGAATATATCATAAAATACATATATTATTGCACATCATGCCATGATATTCCAGTGGAGGGATATTTTTCCTAGTGATTGTGATTGGAATTAAATATTGGAGCCAGCTTCTTGTTCAATGAACTGGGCAGTGGGAGATGAGGCTCTTACTCCACCCCAAATAATGAAAGTTCAGTAACAAAATCATGAAGTTTTTACTCCCCAACGCGCTGAATTTTGTTGCTCCTTGCTGGAATCAGCTTCCATATCCTTAAAAATGCTTTTCCTGGGAAAAGTGAGCAATGAAATCCAGCAGAAGGGACCTAAAGGGTTGCTCAGTGCCTGTGGTGCTTTAAAACACAGATTTAAGATATATTAATTAATATTAATATTAATATGTCCCTGCAGGACAGTGAGAAATTAAGGTTAAACCCGTGAGCGAGAACAAATGGAACCTCAGGCAAAGAAAAGAATCCCCAATTTTATGAGTTCAGTCACAAAAATCCCCTGGGAACTGGGTATGGAAAAACCAGATTATCGTGGGTTAATTTTAAGGAGAAGAGCAGGGAAAAGAAGGGTTAATGAGCTGAGGAAGAAATGGTGCTGTGCCCACCACGAGCTTGAATAAAAGCTGCCAGATTGGGGGAATAATGGCAGAAATTAGGGGTTGGATTTGGTCATCTTGGAGGTTTTTTCCAGCTTTAATCAGATTATTCCACAGTCCCTGGTCTTGGAAACCCACAGTTCCTTCAAAGTGTTGCCTGGAGGGACAATCCATTCATTTTCTTACCCCTTGATGGCTTTTTTTTTTAGTTTTTTCAGTTTACTCTTTCTCCCATTCCAGGTGTTGAAAGCATAAAATCGGAGAGAAACAACAAAAACCTCAATACTAAAAAAAAAATGAAAATATCACCATAAGCTGTATTAGAACATTTCAGAATGAGGGGGTTTCTCACTAATATTTCAGAGGCTTCCACACAACAGCATCAAGCTGATTCCTCCCAAATTTTTTCTCCTGTTTGCCTTGCAAAAGGATTAAGGAATTTTGCAAATGCACCAAAAAAATAACAAAAAAATCAGATTAGTATTTTTTTTTTCCCGTCTCCTCACAGTTGTTTTTCCACCGTGTCACGAACGGCGCTAAACGAAAACACTGCTGAAGTGAAAACACCCCCGGTGTGGGGGTTTATTTCCAGGATAAATCTGGAAAGACAGATTTGTTCCCATATGCCAAGGGGAGGACCTTTACAACTTCACACTTGGTTTGACTTCTGGGCCTCGCTGCATAATCCCCCAGCAATTTATTTATTTCCTCTCGGGAGCTCCCTCTGTTCCCCTTCAGCACATTCCAACCTTACCCATATTCCTGGGATTCTGTGAAATTCAAATTCTTCCCAATTTAAAAGAAACACCTTTTTTTTGGGAAATTTGAATGACAACTACTAAAACCAGCCAAAGGGATATTTCGGGATATTTTCGAGATAAATCTCAAGTGATTTTTTTTTTTGCCAAACTTGGAAAAGGCACTTTTTAATCTTAATTTTATCGCTCCCCTCAATTCCCAGAGAGTTAAAAACAGCAGAAGAACCTAAGCTCAGAGGTTATAAATAGAGGTGAAGAAAGCATTAGTTTTTGGGTTGTTTTTTTAGAAATAATCAAAGAGCTGTCAGCTCTCACATCACAAAAAGTATGTCTAAATTTAGAAGGCCTTAATAAATTATGAAAAAGTGTGGATTTTTTCACAAGGTAGGTTTGGTGCTTTTAAAGAAGGAATTTTAGGACAGCAAGTTTAGCTAAGAATTCTCCTTAAGGGATAAAGGGCATGGGGTGGAAGGTTATAAAGACCCTCAGCATTTCTCATTGCTCTGATTTAATGTGAAAAGCAGGTTATTTAGGTTATTTTAGGAGGTTATTTAACGGTGATTTTTACGAGGTGGGAGACATCCAGGGGAAAATACACGGTGTGGGATTTAAATGCATAAATATTTGTATTTATAGATGTATTTATATTATAAATATATATATAATGTATTATAGA